ATAAATTTTTTTTTAAACAAGGTATTGTTATGCAGTTCTAGTTGGCCTTGAACTCACAGCGACTCTCCTGCCTCATCCTCCCGAGTGCTGGTATTACAGGAGTGTACTACCATGCCTGGCTTAAAGTGTATTTATTAGTGCTTATTTTACAAAATATTGGGTTCCAATATGTTTTTGTGAATGCATGTTTTCATCATACCCATCCTTATTATCCTTTCACTTCCTTCCCCTTCCACACTATTCCCTTTATGTCCCTTCTACTTTGATGTCATCTTTTTTAGATTTACATATTAGGAAATATGGGCTGGGGATGTAGCTAAGTGGCACAAACACCTGTCTGGCAAGTGTAAGGTCCTGAGTTTGATTCCTGGTACAAAAAAAAAAAACCACAAAAAACCATTAGCAAATAATTTTTTAACTTTTTTTGTTTTCTGGGGGCTGAGACAGGGTCTCATTATGTAGTTCAGCCTGGCCTTGAAATATGTAGCCAAGGCTGGCTGCAAACTCACGGCCACCCTCCGACCTCAGCCTCCTGAGTGCTGGGAACCCGTTTATGCACCACTGTATCTGGTAAAATTTAACTTTGTTTGGGAACCATAAAACTGTTTTCCACAGCACCGGCTTAACAGTCCCACCAGTAGTGGACTCAGGTCCATACTGGGTTATCTTTAGTCTCGAGTTGTAGTTCTTTCTATATTCTAGGTACAAGTCCCTTATCAGAGATGTATGATGTACAAGCATTTTCTCATTGAATAAGGTGGCTTTTCTTGTTATTGATAGTTCTTAATTTTGATGAGATCCCGCTTATCTAGTTTTTATTTTGTTGTTTATACTTGTGTATTATAATCCAGACAATACTGCCTTTCCTAAGGTCATGAAGATTTATGTCCATGCTTTCTTCTAAAAGTTTTGTGTTAGCTTTTATGTTTACATTAAATTTTGTATATGCTGTAAGGTAAGGAGCCCAGCTTCATTTTTTTTTTTTTTTTTTTGGTGAGACAGGGTATTACTAAATTGTGCAGGTGGGGCTTGAACTTGCAATCCTCCTGTCTCAGCCTCCCAGAGTTAGGATTACAGGTGTATACCACCATGCTTGGCTCCCAACTTCTTTCTTCTGCATATGGATAGCCAATTGCCTCAGTGGTGCCAAAACACTATTTTGCATCCGTTTGAATTGCTCTGGCAAGTTTGTTGATCAGTTGAGAATAAATGTGAAATGTGAGGGTTTATTTCTACATTCACATTAGTTTATTTAGCTGTCTATCCTTTCTAAAAATTTTTATTAGTATACATGTACAGTACATAATGCTTATAGTTCTCATAGGGTATATATGTCTGTCCTTATAGCAATACTAGAATGTCTTTTTGAGACAGTCTTGCTATGCAGTTCAGGCTGGCCTTGAGCTCACTTTGTAGCCCCGGTTGGTCTCAAACTTGCAACGATCCTCCTGCCTCAGCCTTCTGAGAGCTGGGATTACAGGCGTGCACCACAATGTCTTGACTAGCTTTGTAGTAAGCCAATTTTCAAATTGGGAAATGTGATTCCTTCAATTCTGTTTCTTTTCCAAGACTGTTGACTCTGATCTAGATTCTTAGTGTGGTTACTGAACTCTCACCTTAGAAACATCCAGTTTCTTCCATTGTAGTTATATGAAGCCTATGAGGGACTCAAATATATGCTTTACTGACTTAGGTAACTGCATGTCTGTATGAATGCCTGGATGCACAAATTTGATGAAGCCTTGGAATCCTTGAGTGGAACAGTAATGTGGCCACTTCAGCATCTCAGTGATCCTCAAATTATTTAGCAACTGAGACCATCTCAAAACGTTTATTTAAAAAAAGGGCTTGGAGTGTGGCCCAGTGTGCAGGCCTTAGGTTCAATCGCTATTACTGGAAAAAAACAAACAAACAAAAAAAAAACTCATTGAAAGACAACTCCTACCTCAAGAAACTCAGCATGGTAACAGTGCTTTCCCTTCAGTCCCTAAGGCTGTTCCAGATAATGAGCCTCTGAACCTTGTGACCACAACCATTTGTTTTCTTCCTCAAACTTTTATTAGTGTATTTTTTTTTTTTTTTTTTTTTTCTGGTACCAGCAATCGAACTCACGACCTTGCACTTGCCAGGCAGGAGCTGTGCCACTGAGCTAAATCCCCAGCCCCTATTAGTATATTTTTGATACACAGTACACACATTCATGGTGGGAGAACTGGTACTTCATGTATCACATGATGATCCTTTTTGTTACCATTTCCCTCCCATCCTTTCAAACAATGGACTCTGACTCAAGGATCCTTGAATGCCATAATAGTTTGTTTCCAAGATGAGGAGCAAGATGTGACATCTGTACAAAACAGGTAACTAAGCTCAATCAGGCCACACAATACTGAATGACAAAGATCCAGGCTCATTGCCTGAATTACATGGGTAACGTTTAGTTTTTTCTTATTTTCAGGGATGTTTCATTTATGTAATTTTCATTATACTGAAGCTTAAGCCTCTAAGCAAAAACACATTTTATCATTTCAATTTTTATTAGTACATTTGCAGTACATACTGATTACATTCATCATGGGGAGGTGGTACATGCACATAACACATCTGAATTCTTTTTATGTTCCCTTTTCAGCTCTAGCACATTTTAGACTTTGAGGACTTGAGGTCTGTCTTACAGACTTGAGTTAACAAACCCTTCAGGGTTAATAAACTGCTTCAGATTATTTGATCTACAGAATGGCTATGGGGTTATCTGGTTTTTCTCAGCATTTCCTCCTTTGTAAACTCCCTTTGTAGTTCTAGGAGGTCAAGAAAGGAAGTTAAATTTTACCAGGAGTAGGCCGGGGATATAGCTCAGTGGTACAAGCGCCTGCCGGGCAAGCTCAAGGTCCCAAGTTTGATTCCCGGTACCAAAAAAATGATAATTTTTTTACCACTGGGCGTGGTGGTGCATGCCTGTAATCCCAGCAGTCAGGAGGCTGAGGCAGGAGGATCGTTGTGAGTTCAAGGCCAGCCTGGGCTACAAAGTGAGCTCAAGGTCAGCCTCAACTACATAGAGACCCTGTCTCAAAAAGACAAAGAAAAAAATTTACCAGAAGTGAACAGAAGTGGGGAAGGCTGAGAGAACTGCACAGAAGCAGACACTGTGTGCCCGAGAATCTTCCATCCTCTGGCTGTGGAGTAGCAGAGTTCCCTGCACTGCGTGGTGCAGACACAAACCTGAGCTGTGCAGACACTGCTCATGACTTCAACCTGAAGGAGACCAAGTTATACCAAATTCTTGTAAAAGACACAGAAAATAAAACCCTAAGTCATTTTGTTTTAACCACAAGTATTTATTGACGAATTGAACAATACAGTTTTAATGGGACAGTAAGGCACAACTGTGGATTAAAACAGTTTGCTCTACAGCCAAAGAGGGGAAAAGCCATAATCTTAGGAACTTTAAATATGCAAACCAAGGAGCTCCAGACTCCTCTCTAACAGGCCACTATTAGACAGTTCTTCCCTTTTCTATAATTCTATTACTTCACTTTGATCATGAAGCCAGACTGATACCTCATGAAGAGTTCCCCATGCATTTATACTTACGCCGTCCAGCCTGGCCACTCCTGTTCCCTACCTTTGTCCAGCCCTTTGCACTGGTATTTTTTTAGAAGTTCCTCCCCTAAAGAGTTGTTTGCACACCTTGGAGAGCAAGGGCAACAAGCAAGCAGCCAGGCACAGAAAGTCAGCCAAGGGCAGATGTATGGATGAAGGGACTCACAAGAAAAGACGGCCACGGCCCGATGGGTCTAAGCTGGCTTTGGCAGAGAAGTTGCCCTGGCTCACTCTCGATGACCTAAATGCCACTAGTGCCGGACCCCTTGTCCCCAAGGGATTAGCAATGGTCTAGATAGGAGCCAGGAAGGTCACGTAACCAGGCAGCTAAGACAATACACTCAATGCTTTGGGCTGTAGTAGGAGCTGACTATGGCTTCCGCATTAACAACTTGCCAAGTGTAAAATTCATGAAGAATTTTGCGCGGAACTTCAGGACACTGAAGCTGATCCTTAATTCTCTTGGCCTGGGATAAGTTAGGCACTTCCGTGACACTAGTCGCTCTACTTGGAAATGTGAAGGGAGAAACCTTCCAGTGTCGTCACACCGCCGCATATGCCATGCCGCGGTATGAGTGGGGAGGTGCCAGGTGCCTTGTTTTGTGGATCAAAGAGCCGTGAGGCGGTCCCAGCAACTGTCTGCACAGCCGTTCTGGTGGTGACGGTGACCCAAAGCTAAGCAGATCTGCGGAACTATGACTACTTTCTGAATACTCAGCACGACACTCACCAGAGCTGTGTTGGTTCGTAAGCTGAGAATCAGAAGCCAGAGGTAGAGCGACCTGGACAAGCCACCAAAGTGACCTTTCAGGGAACTTTCTACCCAGAAGCCCTTTGATGACAGAACAGTGCAAGCGACAAGAGAGGGTCACATTCTTACAAAAGAAGTGTTGGTTCCTGAAAGCCCCTAGAAGGCAGCATCCCAGAGACCCATTTCAGAGGGAAGGTAGATAAAAACCACCAGACCACTGAACCATCCTGCCAAGTCAGAAAGAGATTAACAGGCATAGCGTGGGGTGCCAGGTAGAAGAGGGGGAACTGTGAGGATCCGTACAAAGCCGGGAGGCTGAAAGGCAGGCTGGGAGACAGGGAAACAGAAAGCCAAGGATGCACACAAGGACACAGAATGCTGGAACCTCGCTGCAGGGAAGGCCGCACGGCCACATCTCCACCCAGCGAGAGCTGTGCGGGCCACTCTGAGCGTGAGGCCCCCTCACCTTCTCAGGCTGGATGGATTGAGACGTTTCACAGCAGAAGAGGGAAAGGCGGTGCTGAGAAAGAGGTGGTGGGCAGCTACCGAGCAGAGAGACACTGGGAGTTCCCTTCCGTAAGGCAGGTTTACACACAAGGCGGGTCTGGCTGGGCAGACACTTGGGGTCATCATGCAACAGCAGTGGGACTTCGGGAGAAGGGGAGCGCTGGGGTGAAGGTGGGGCAGGTGGACAGGAGGACTCTTGAAGTTCCAGTTCTTAAATACTAGACAGCAAGGAATAGTCTGGTCTGTGTCCTTTAGTGAAGAAACCGGATGCTCATTTTCTGTTCTACATCCACCTTCTCCAAAACCTGGAGTAAGAAAACCAAACCCATTACAGTTAGGAAGAACAAAACCATCTCAAGTATGTTCCCAAATAGTAGCTTCTCCTCTCTCCAGTGCAGTACAACTTAACTTTTTCAAAACAAGAAGTAACTGACCTTAACAAACTCTGTGAAAGATATGGCACTGTCACCGTCCTGGTCAGCCTCCTGGATGGTCCTGTCTGCAATGCTGCCCAGCTGCTCATCTGAGATGTTCACGCCAACCATCATGCGTAGCACCTACAAGACCAAGAGCCAGGCATTGCTGGGAACTGAGAATCAGAGGGACTTTACTAGGGTTAAAGTGAAAGCTGCCCCAACTCCCTTCCTCTGACACACTTACACTTAACAGCTAGAAAGCTAGTGTCTTCTCATCTAGGCTATTCTAGACAGTGGTATGAGTCAAGTCACTGAATAGGAAGGTAAAGCTTCACTAAGAGAGTCCTTTGCATTTTGCTGGTCCCCATTTTTCCTGCACAGGCTGCAGATATGGTATCTGGTGGCACAGCAGCCCTCCTGGGGCCATGAGGTGTATCACGTGCTGTGTGTGCCAGAGCAAGGCACCTGCCAGGCACCTGGATATTGTTCAGTTATTGTACCACTCTAGACAGCCTATCCCCAGACTTCTACTGCATAAGGCAAACAAGTTCAGTTTGATCTAACTTTCTGGAATCCTGTCCCAATGCAGTCCCCTTTTGAGAAGGTGCATTAAGCCAGACTATGACCCAAGAAACATAAAGGGTTAACTCTTCAAGTGTTACTGTACATGCCAAGTCCTCCTCTTAGAAAAATAATAAGCACTTATTTTTGAGACAGGGTATTGCTATGCAGTCCACACAGGCCTTGAACTTGCTTGAACAGCCCAAGCTGTCTTCGATCTTTCAATCCTCCTCAGCCTCTCTAGTGCTAGGGTTACAAGCATGTGCCACCATGCCTGGCAATAACAAGCACATTTACAGGACTTTCAGAATTGAGTAAAGAAAATTTAACACTATTTCACTAAATAGTTCATTATCAAACAATGAAGAACCTCACTTGCTACAAGTCTTTTTGGGCTTCACCACTGGAAATGGAGCCTGGGCTGCGCAAAGTGCTCCACCATTAAGCTACAACCCCGGCCCTTTTTTTTTGAGACAGGTTCTTGCTATGCAGTTCAGGCTGGCCTTGAGCTTACTCTGTAACCCAGGGTGGTCTGAACTTGCAACAATCTTCCTACCTCAGCCTCCTGAGTGTGAGTGCTGGGATTACAGGCGTGCGCCACCACGCCCGGCCCCAGCCCTCTTAAAAAGGGTATTTTGAGATGAGGCATCACTAAGTGGTGCAAGATAGCTGGGAACATGCGTGGCTTTTTACAAAAAAGCCAGGGGTTTGAACTCAGGGCCTGTGCATGCTAGGCAAACGCTCTACCACATTCCTAGCCCTTTGCTTTGTTTTCTGAGATGGAGTCTCACTGTGTTGCCTAGGCTGGCCGCCAGCTCCTAGGCTCAAGTGATGCCTTGCCTCCGCCTCCCACGTAGTTACTATTAATTTGCATGTGTCACTGTACTCAGCTACAAACCAGCTGGAATTTGTGTATTTTAGGTTCAAAATGTACAAGTGAAAGCTTAATAAAAAAGGGCAGATCTAGCAAGACCAAACTACTGCTATCTTCCCCAACTGAATGGTCAAATGGGTGAATCCATCCTCACACTGCAGCCTCTTCAGACCTCAGTCCCATTATTGCCTAAGTATTATGGCTGTGGTGCATCCTAAATGTCACTGCATCTGGACTAGTAAAGACCTGAGGACCCAGGATTAGCTGGGCCGGGTCTCAGTGACCAGCGCAGGAGCTGTCTATCCAGTTCTCCATTCCCAGCCCAGTGCTCCTCCCCCTGTTCATGCTGCTACTCTCTGTTCCCTTGGGAAGGCTGTTAGCCAAGTGGGAACTCAGCCTCTTGAGTGCTGGTACTAAAGGCCTATGTCAACATGCCTGGCTGTTGAGAGGTTTTGTTTTGGTCTTTTGACACAGGGTCTTGCTACAAAGTTCAGGATGGCCTGGAACTCACTGTGTAGCCCAGGTTGTCCTTGAACATGTGGTGATCCTCCTGTCTCAGCCTCCTGAGTGCTGGATTATAGGTGTGCACCACCATGCCTGGCCTAGTGAAGGTTTTTGTATATACTCAGGGTTTGGGAGGGTATCGGGACTCAGACTCAGGACCTTGGCTTGCCAGGCAGGTGCCGCTCCACTGAGCTACAATCCTGGCCTATACTCATTATCAATTTAAGAAAAATTCCTTCTATTTCCAGTTTTATAAGAGTTTTCAACAATTACTAATTAAATGCTTTTTTCAATAGAAAAGACCAACTTTTTTACTTAGTGTGTTAACATGGTTATGACTGATCTTTTTTTTGGTATCAGGAATCAAACTCAGGACCTTGTGCTTGCCACAACTGGCACTTGTGCCGCTGAGCTATATCCCGGCCCATAACTAATCTTTAAATTTCAAGTGCAAACCCACCTTGGCTATAATAATATAGTATGATTTCATATATTACTCTTTTTTTTTTTGGTTTTTCTCTGGTACTGGGAACCGAACTCACGATCTTGCGCTTGCCAGGCAGGCGCTTTGCCGCTGAGCAAAATCCCCAGCCCTGATTTCATATATTACTGTATTTAGTGTCTTCCTTCCTTCCTTTTTTTTGAGACAGGGTCTTGCTATGTAGCCCTAAGCTTCTCAAGTGCTAGGATTACAGATGTGCACCACCATGCCCAGCAATATTTTCTTTTACAATTCTTTTTTTTTGAGGGGGGAGCGGCAGTACTGGGGAACAAACTTAGGGATGTTCTACCACTAAACTACATTGCCAGCCTTTTTAATTTTTGAGACAGGTTGTCATTAAGATCATTAAGTTTCTCAGGCTGGCCTCAAACTAATGATCCTCCTGCCTCTGCCTCTTGTGTAGCTGGGATTACAGGCATGTGCCACAGTGTCCAGCTTTTGTTTTAGTATTTTTATATCTATGTGAATAAAAGAGGTTGGGCTGTAACTTACTTTCTTGTGCTATGTAAGGTTTTCATGTCAAAGTTATGCTAGTCTCATAAAATGAGTTGGGGAAGAGGGGCTGGGGATTTAGCTCAGCTGCAAAAGTGCCTGCCTGGCAAGCACAAGGTCATGAGTTCGGTTCCCGGTACCGGAGAAAAAAACCAAAAAATAAAATAAAATAAAATAAAAAAATTAGTTGGGGAAGAGAGCAATATCTTTATTGAAGTATGAACGATATACAACAGTACTTATTTAAAAATGACCCATCAAAAATTAAAAAAGAAAATCAACATTCCAAAAGTTCAACTAGGGTATTTTACAAGAATCATATTAAGAAAACATGACCTGCTGAGTGGAGTGGCACATGGCTGTAATCCCAGCACTCAGGAGGCTGAGGCAGGAAGGTTGCTGCAAGTTTGAGGCCACACTGGGCTACCTAGTGAGTTCAAGGCCAGCATGAACTACGCAGTGAGACCCTGTCTCATAAACATAAAACAAAACACGACCTGTTCTTAGGAAAAACTTGCCCCAAACTTCTTTTTTTTGCCCCAAACTTTTTAATATCTACCAAGTTACTAAGTACTCCTAATTACCAAATGCTTTAGAAATTGCAACATCTAGAAAGATAAACTGTTCTTTCTCTCACTTTGGCAAAAATGTTCGTATCTCCTCCGTGCTTGAATAGAACTAGTGGTCTGGCACCTCAACATTCTAGGGGCACATTTTCCTCTGTCATTCTGGGGCCAGGACACTCAAGTCTCCCCCCGACTCCTGCTGCAGGCCTCCCTTACCCTTGTAACAGAAACTAAGTCAGCCCTCCATGCCCAGAACGTCTTCTTGGCAGCCAGAGCTAGGCCAGAGGATGAAAATGTAGCTACAGGGTGACTGTTCTCTCTTCTCTCCAGAACTCAGGAGCCCATATATAGCAACTCCAAGTCACACAAACCCTTCTCACCGAAGAAACTGTGGAGTCAGCTTGTATTTCTATTTCTTTGTACTGAGCTGCATACCCAACACTTTTAAATTTTGAGACAGGGTCTTTTTAAATCACTAAATTATCACAGAAGAGCTTGAACTTGTGATACTTTTTTGGCAATACAGACATCTGTGAACAACTACTTTTAAGGGTGAGGTATATGAAGACTAAAATTAGGTCAAATAATTTTTTGATATAGTGGGGTGTGGGGGTGCACACCTGTAACCCCAGCACTCTGGGAGGCTGAGACAGAACAGAAAGTTCTAGTCCAGCCTGGGCAACTTGGAGACCCTGTCTCAAAATAAAAAAGGGCTGGGGATATAGCTCGGTCCAATGGTCTGGGATTCAATCCCTTGTGCTACAAATAAAAAAAACTACAAATGAATAAATAACAAAAAGAAGTTTTGGTGTACTTCTATATATTACATACTTTACTTATATACCTTAACTACATTATGTATTTTATAGGTGGTGCAAGATAATTCTCTTATCTTGCCCAGGCAAGCCAAAAGGTTAGACACCTGTGACTTAAACCCACGTCATACATTTCACCTGTTAGTCAGCACCGGAGACATTTAGTTAGCTTTTAAACAATGGAGAGGGGTCTGGGCTGACTCAATGAGCCATTTCAAGTTTCCCCAGGTGGTATGTATGCTGTGCCTTTTATCTAGTACAGTACTCTAAACACAGCAGATGTGAGAGAACAATTTCTGCCCACAAAAATAAGCAGCCACGGCCCAAAACACAAGTCTCCCTGGAGTGCTCCCACATACCTGTAACAGCTCATCACGGGAGATCTTGTCATCTTTATCCAGATCGTACAGCCGGAAAGCAACTGGTAGGGAAAAACTGGAGTTAGTGAACTTCTGCAGTGTTCTGCCCCTTCTCAAGGAACTGAACATGTAGAGGACAGACACCATACAGAGAACATGGACGGCCAGCTAAGTGGTTTCCCAAGACAACAGCCATGACTTGTAGGACTTTTTTTTTTTTTGGTCTTTTTGAGACAGGGTCTCGCTGTGCAGTTCAGGCTGACCTTGAGCTCACTTTGTAGCCCAGGCTGGCCTCGAACTGGCAAAGATCCTCCTGCCTCAGCCTCCCAAGTGCTGCGATTACAGGTGTGCGCCACGTGCCACACGCCTGGCACTTGTAGGACTTTTAAAGACACTGTAACAATTAAGAAATTGAGACTTGGCCAGGCCTATGCCTGTAATTCCAGTACTCAGGAGGCTGAGGGAGGAACACTGCTATGAGCTGAAGGCCAGTCTGGACTACATAATGAGTTCAAGGCCAGCCTGGGCTACATGAGACCCTACTCAAAAGACAAAAACCAAAACAAAACAAAAAAGCCCAGACTGACCGACACAGCAAGATTCTGTCTCAAAAAGAAAAAAGGAGACTTGATGGTGTGGTAGAGCTGATGGAGAAAGCGCCCCCACAACCCCGCCCCAAAAAAGAAAAAGCTGAGTGTTCCTTTTCTTACCCTAGAATATTTTAAAATCTTAAACAACCCTGGGGCTGGGGATATAGCTCATAGCTTAGTGGCACAAGCACCTGCCTGGCAAGCATGAGGTCCTGAGTTCGACTGCCAGTACCAAAAAAAAAAAATCTTAAAAAAACCAAACAACAAAAACCAAGCCTTAAGTGGCTCTGTAAGTTATGTCCCCTTTTTTGAGTAGGGTCTCGCTACATAGTCCAGGCTGGCCTTGAACTCATTATGTAGCCCAGACTGGCCTTCAACTCATAGCAAACCATCAAACCCAAAGTGCTCAGGGCGACCTGGTACCCAAGCAGCTGCCCCCAAAGCTTGTCTGGAAATACAGCCCCTGGGTACCTGAGCCAGTTCTCAAGAATTCCAACCACCTGGGAGTCCTGCTGGTAAACAGCTAAGTTTCAAATAAAAACACTCAGACCCTGATGGTCTCCTGGCCACTTCATGTTTCCCTAACAATACAGAAGCCATAAGAGAGTTTTGCTTGTGCCATGTAAGAGAAAATTAAAAACAAAACAGAAAACCAAGGCAAACCAAAACAACCCCAAACAGAAGGAATAAAAAGAAAGAAAAGAAAAAAGAAGAAAAAGAATTCAGGAGAGCAATAACCATTCTGTTTTTGCCAAGTCACTGACCAGCTACCTCGAAAACAACGGGTCAACACCGGGTGACTTGCTGGGCACTGTGAGAAAGTGTCACCCTGAGGAACTGACTGTCTAGCCATAGCACTGAATTTAGGGTGGTTTTGAATCCTTTCAAAGAGGTGGCTAAGACTCGTGGTCATTCACAGGGAGCTGCTGACACAGGCCCCCTGCGGCTCCAGAGTTAGTAAGACCCACAGTCTGGTGGACGACAGCCACACACATTGCCCACTCTAGCATGAGGCCACTAAACGTTGAAGTAAAAATCTTAGAACAATTGTTTTAAAAATTAGGAAAATTTTTTAAAAATTAGGAAAATCTAATGTACTGTTTGGAAAGTATGTAGTAGAATTCTGTAGGAAGATAGTAGCTGGGACTTTTTCAAAAATTTTTTCTCTCAATTTAATTAGCTGAAAAGCTACCTTTTTTCCCAGTACTGAACACAGAACTCAGAGATACTCTACCACTGAACTACATCTTCAGCCCTTTTATTTTTTATTTTGAGACAAGGTATCAGGAAGTTGCTAAGCTGCACAGGATGGGCACAAACTTGAGATTCTCTCACCTCAGCCTGCCACAATGCTGGCATTACAGGCAGGGATGTGCCACTACATCCATCTACTACTTTTTAAATGCCTAAGCTTTCAGGTCATAATGCTAAAAAAGTTGAGAGATTAAAATGCCTTTGTCATTCTTTTTTGTTTCTTTTTCTTTGTTTAGTCTTTTTGAGATATGGTCTTGCTACATTGTTCAGGCTGGCTTTGAATTCACAATGTAGCCCAGGCTGGCCTCAACCTCACAGCAATCCTCTTACTTTATAAAATAAATTCTATAAAGGGCAGGGAATATGGCTCTGTGGTAGAATGCTCCTGGGTTTGATCCCCAGTATAACACGTGCCACCCCAAGAATGCTAAATACATGGAATCACACCAATGTAACTTACCTTTTGTGTCAATATTCTCTCTCTCTCTTTCTCTCTCTCTTTTTTAGACAGGGTCTTGCTATACAGTTCAGGCTGGCCTTAAATTCACTATGTAGTTTGGCCTTGAATTCATGGTGATCCTCCTTCAACTTCCTGAGTGGTGGGATTACAGGCTTGGGCCACCATACCTGGCAGACCAATGTATTCTTCCTTCCTTTTCTTTTTTTGAGATGGGGTCTCTGTAGTTCAGACCAGCCCTGAACCCCAGCTGGCCTTGAACTCAAAGTGATCTTGCCTCAATCTCTGGAGTGCTGAGATTATAGATGTCCACCACTGTGCCCAGCTCAATGTATTCTTAAAGTAAGAAAACTTACCGAGTTGGAATAGATAAGTGGTTGCAGTTTTATTTATAATAGCAAAAAATAGAGATTAAAAATAGAAGGAGTGGGAAGCCAGGTACATTATCTGTGATTCCAGCTACTCAGGAGGCTGAGTGAGGTGGACTGCAAGTTTGAGGCCAGCCTTGCAATTTAGCATGACTTTGTGTCAAAAATAAAAAATCTGGGAGGCTGAGGCATGAGGATTACAAGTTTTGAGCCCTGTCTGAGCAAGTGAGTGTGACACTGTCTCAAAATAAAATTAAAAAGGGCTGGAGATGTAGCCCAGTGGTAGAGTAGCACACAGGAAGCCCTGGGTTTCAGCTCTGGTACTAGAGGAAAAAACTGAGGGTGAGAGAGGGAAGGGTGGAAGTGTGGCTAAAAAGGAGTATAAGTAGCCCTGTGGTTCTGTTTCTTGAATGTGGTGGTGGATACATGAAGCTACACAGGTTATAGAACTGCACAGAACCATGCACAAACCTCCTTGGTCAAATGTGGGTAAGCTCTGGATCCTGTCAAGGTCGCTCTCCTGGCTCTGACCTTAGGATAGCCTGAAGGGTATATGGAAACTGCTTCTACATATTTTTGCAACATTCTGTTAATCTAATTACCCTCAAATAAATGTAAAAGCAAACCACATGTAGTGATGTGATCCACCCACAGCTGACAGGTGTGTGTACTACTAGCTACTATGGAAGCTGAGGCAAGACAATCTTTTAGCTCAGAAGGTGGAGGCCAGCCTGAGTCACATAATGAGAATCTGCCTCCCTCTAAAAAGTAAAAACAAAAGGCAAAAAGAAATCCATTCTTATGCTTTTCTATGCATACTCTTTCCATGGCCTTTGTTGGTATAAAATAGATTCCAGGAAGTTTTTTGTTTTGCTTTTTGTTTTTCTTTTGCAGTACTGGGGCTTGAACTCTGAGCCTCTGCACTAAGCTATATCCCCATCACTTTTTATTTATTATGAGCTAAGGGTCTCACTAAGTGGCTAAGTTACTCAGCCCAGGTTGGAACTTGTAGCTGTTCTGTCTCAGCCTCTCAGAGTGCTAGGATTATAAGTATACCCGACTATGCCCTACTTTAGGAAGATACTTAATGTCAGCCTTCGTTTTCTTTGTGTACAACAACAGGTTAGAATATTCAAAAGACAGCAACTTTGGTACACCAAAAAGAGGTGGCTAGTGGTATGATGTAGCACTCCATATCTGGACTAATCTAACAAAATAAATGGGATATACTAACTTGCGGCACCTGAACAAGCATGAGGGATAAATCTAAAGTGATGTTACCATGCAGGGTGACTGCCTGCTCTGTAGCACCTCCACCCGCACCCACACAAATGCACCACCAGGCTATGGCAACAAATACTCCACTTAGCATGAGAAGAGGTATGAGCCCAGTGTGTCCTACGAGAACACACACAGGGAGTTGGATTTTACTATGGAGTCCAGAGACATACTAGTGCACAAGTACAAGAAAGCAATTTCACTGCCAGGTGTGGTGGTGAATGCCTATAATCTCAGCACTGGGGAGGCTGAGGCAGGTGGGTCACAGCAAGAACAAGGCCAGCCTGCACTACACAGTGAGTTCAAGAGTGGGTCTGAACTACAACAGCAAAATCCTATCTCAGGGAAAAAAAAAAAAAAAAAAAAGGTAAGTGCTGGGTGTGGTGGTGCACGCCTATAATCCCAGCACTCAGGAGGCTGAGGTAGGAAGATCACTGCAAGTTTGAGGCCAGCCTGAGTTACATAGTGAGACTCTTGTCTCAAAAACCAAAAAACAACAACAAAAAACCCAAAACCAACCAACCAACCAAACAAAAAAGGTTTGTCTCAAAATCCAAAAAAAGTTGGAGATGTAGCTCAATACCAAGTCCCTGAGCTTAATCGCTAGTACTACGAAAACAAACAATTCCATCTTAACTATTTGAAAATTTATAATTCAATACAATCAAGTATGTTCCTGTTGTTGTGAAAACAATCTCCAGAACTTTTTCAAATCTGAAATTTTTGCACATCTGAAATTCTATATCCAACTTTTTGCAGATCTGAAATTCTATATCCAAGACACTCCGCCTCCCTACCCCCCAGGAGGAAGTTTTGAAAGAACTGGCATAACGCCAGAAGAAAGACAGGGTCAGAGATTTGTCTTCAAATACATGAAAGTCTGTCATGTAGAAAATTTATGCAGTGGAGATCATGGGGCTACTTCAAGTCAACAGAAGGAATAATTCTTTTTTTGAGACAGCGTTTTGCCATGTTGCCTGGGTTGGCCTTGAGCTCCTGGGTTCAAGCAGTTCTTCTGCCTCAGCCTCCTGAGGAACTGTAACTACAGATGCTTGTCTGTGCCTGACCAGAAGGAAGACTTTATAAGAGATCAATGTATGGATAAAGCTGCCTCA